TTATTAATCCAATGCTATGTAAAAATCAACTAAATGAAATAATTCAATTAAAAATAAATATAGGTAATAATATTTATTAATGATAATACGAAAATCTCGACGAAAATCGACACAATTTTTATGAATGCGGTTAGTTGCCTGTTTTCGTGTTAAATTTCGTACAGGAAAGTAAGATTGTTTCACATTTTAACTAGCGCATTACGCACACGATTTACATAAAAAATACATTGGAAACTGTTAAGCCGGCTACAGACTATGCGTGAATTCGCGATGCACGATGCCCGATTGGCGGGTAGTTCCCGAATAGTGTGCAGGACGAGGTGCAGGAGCTTGTTCGTATCAATTCGTAAGGTCCCACAAGCCAGCAGAGCCATTTTAGAAAAATGAAGGACGAAATACATCAGAATTATAGGCTGATTATAGGCCCTTTTTGGACACTTGAACAAACTTTCAGGCGGCATCCTTTAAACAAAAAAAACTATCATCCAGATCAGTTTGATTTTGCCCCTATTGGAGATGTAGTGGATAAATAAAAATTATTTATTTATTGTCTATTTATTGTCCCTCTCTTGTTCTGGGCCCTCAAGGGGCTTTCGCCCAATTAATATATTTATTTAAACTTCAAAAATCCGATACAACTGAATACCAAACGATCCTCGAGATCTTCACACATGCATCATTTTTACAATACACCCTAAGGGGTTGATTCTGTCCCACCTGATCAGCATAGCTTGTAACACAAATTTTTTGAAATGGAATTAGTTTCACTTTTATTTGAAGTGCCTGAATACAACATTTCATTTAAATATCTTAACAAATAAAAGAAAACCGACTGCGCATGCGCAAAACAAATTTTCTGATTTGGCATTAGTTTCACTTTTATTCGGGGTGCCTAGATACAGAATTTCATTTAAATATATTAACAAATAAAAAATTAGGATTGCGCAAATACAAAAGTTGTTATGCGCATGCGCAGTATTTGTTTGCATCTGCATAGTTGCCTGAAGTGAAGTTTAAGGAATATTTACTAACACAGAAAACTGGACATTCATATGTTCTTTGTAACAAGAGTTAGAAACCCTTTTTGGAGGTTTGCGCAGTTTTTGGTCTGTAACTTTTTGACCCGTTGGTCTACGTAGCCGAAAAACAATTGCGAACTTTGTTATATCCTGAAGAACATGTGTATATCCATTTTTAAAGCGATCGGACGTTTCTACACAAAGTTATCGTACACACTGGCAGACAGACGGACAGACAGACGCACAGACAGGCAGCAATACAAAATTATAAACGATCTCGAGGTCCGTTAATAATATAATGAGACGAATAATTTTAATTTTTTTTGTACTTCTTTCCAATTCAGGAATATCGTTTCAACTTTTCTTCTATGTACTATAATATAAGAGAAGATGCATAGACAACTAAGACACTTTTAACATTACTTTTTTTAAAACCTGAAACACAACAACTTGCTATATATTTGATTTATTAGTAAAAGAAAATTCAAATTTCAAATACCTACTTGACAGATGTCTCCAAACAGGTGGAACAATCCCTAACATTAAAGTTACTAGAATCTGGTAACTTCCGCAATTTTTGGGCAAAAAACATGCGTTCTCTCTCTAACACACGGGCCCAATAGATTGCGGTACTTTCTATATTTAGCGACTTATAATGGATCTACAGTGACTGTATACCTACTGTATAGAGGCAGTTTGGTCATACTTTGGTGTTGTTTTTTATTGGTAGGTGGGATATCCGCCATATTTTAACCAAATAAATCGGGTTGGCGGAAATTAACTTGGAATCCAAGGTGATCAAGTCACAAACAGTTGTGACAATAATATTGTAATAATATTGTAACCAATTCAATTAAACCGATCAGCTCAATGAAAAATATGGGAAAAACATGGCGGATATAGAGCATATGACCACACTGTCTTTATACAGTCACTGTTAATGGATCGATACTAATTACAAGGCAGAAATTTTGCGCATGCGCATAGCGTATCGCACATGTGATCAGCTAGCTTCTTCTTTAGCCAGCAAAATAATAGTTTTTTTGTTTAAAGGATGGCGCCTGAAAATGTGTAGTAGTGTCTAAAAAAAGCCTATAAATAGCCTATAATTTTGTGATTTGAATTTTTCGTTTTCGAAGCAAATCGCAAATGTGGTCAGCTAGCTTCATCTTTAGTCAGCAAAATCATAGTTTTTTTGTTTAAAGGATGCCGCCTGAAAATTTGTTGTAGTGTCTAAAAAAAGCCTATAAATAGCCTATAATTTTGTGATCTGAATTTTTCGCCTTCGAAACAAATCTCACAAGTGGTCAGCTAGCTTCGTCTTTAGCCAGCAGAGCCATAGTTTTTTTCTTTAAAGGATGCCGCCTGAAAATTTGTTCAAGTGTCCAAAAAGGGCCTATAATCAGCCTATAATTCTGATGTATTTCGTCCTTCATTTTTCTAAAATGGCTCTGCTGGCTTGTGGGACCTCAATTCGTAAACAGAATGATGCATGTGTACACAGTAATTCGCCCCTCAGAGCGGTAAATAACGAATATCAAAAGCTGCGCATCAACGCAAACCGCTAATTCGTCAAAGTTTGGGCTCTGTTCATAGTTAGTTCATTCGCTGTGTGTGAGTACTATACGAGTATATAGGTTTTGCTCATACTTCAAATTTTCGTGCACTAGGACGAACATCGGTAAATCAGGCATCACGCGTGCGAATTGTGAACAAACGCCTAGTCTGTATGCTCTGCGACTTACTATGAACTACAACGAACTGGACGAATCACGAATCGCAAAAAGTGCATATGGTCTGTAGCCATGATACTACATTGCAGTATCATGGTCTGTAGCCACCTTTAGAGATGTGCGAAATGTAGAAATAACAAAAGTTCAATTCAGTCGGTAAAGGGAATACAAAATTAGAGGAAAATATATATTTAAAGTGAGTAAGGGCAGGTGTTTTCATCAAGTGTTGCTAAAAGACTAAAAATATAAAGATATAAATAGAGTATCGACCTCCTTTCAGGTTTAGACACCCTCGAAGCGACCTGACTTTCACTTGACTAAGTAAAAACAGGACAAGTTTTGTAACGGGTAGTTAGCTTCGATTATATTTTTAGCGCATTTTTGCAAATTTATTTGTAAAAAGTAGCTTTTAATCTCACTTTGGCTGACTGGCTGGCTGGCTAGCAGCAAATGTGGGCGTGTAGAAGAACTCTTGTAGAAAGGCAACGGGTGTACGTACGGTGTACAAGGCCGTGTAATTTGTCAACCTTAGGGACAGGGTTACATGATGTGGGGTGGCGATATCTGGGCGTCATCCTCGAGCGTATTTTACTAACGTGAAGGTTTTTCAGTTTTTCCTATCTTCTACTACAGTTTTGGTCCGATTCTTTTCAAATTGGTGTCGTCGGAAAGATGTTGTAAACGCGCACAACTCCTGCGTGGCGGAATTTGGTTTTTTGTTCTAGGGGCGAAATTAACGACCTTTTGCGAGGCGCGCGCGCGCGTCTTCGAGAGGTAGTCCATTTCGGGCGCTTTCTACCTTCCGTTGCGAACTTTGTCACGCGGTTTAACGTTTCGTAAATCTCGAATCGCTGTCTCTCTTTCTCGTATCGGCAATAGAAACTCGAGCAATGAGAAGTGGCCCAAAAAATAAGTACTATCTTGTGGAAGGTTTTTAACGAAATCCACCAAAAGGTGGGTATCATATAAGTATGCACCGAAAACGGAAATGTGGTAGCCTCCGACACGATCTTCCTGATGGTGGAGTCAAATCTTCAAACGCGAATTGCGGGTGAACAGGACGTCGGAAGTGGGTACTGTCAAAGGGGATGTGCTAGCCCCCCACACGATCTTACTGATGGTGGAGTCAAATCTTAAAACGCGAATTGCAGGTG